GTTAAACATGACCGCATCATGTCTAATGTCACTAGGATGAAACGGGGTTTCATTGAATCTAGCAGATGTGTAGCCTGTGGTAACGATGAGGAGACAACTGAGCACATCTTTTGCAATTGCCCAGAAGCAGTAACTGCTTGGAAGGCAGTCCGATAAGTGTCAAAGACGCACACTTTTAAGGTTTATTTAGGGTGAATTCTAGGCTAAAAGCAATCCTTTGTGTAGCAATATTGTGCCAATTAGCTATGTTTTGCATTATATTGAAAATTACCATCGCACTTTACATTTTACAGGTTTTTAGGTAAGTTTCGGGTTTAAACAAGGTAAAGTGGCACAACCGGAATGAAAGCGGGATAAGAAGACAAGCTATGACCTAGCAACGAGTCCACAACGTGTGTTGCAGCACACGTTGTGGAGAGACACAAACTAGGCTGAAATTCTAGAAACTTCCACGCCAAGAACAACGTGCGTTGTAACGCACGTTGGGCAGAATAAGTTCCGCGTTGTCCGGGCATTGAAGGGGTTGCGAAAGGAAATGAAAGGGGAGGCTATTTAAAGTGGTTTAGATCAGATTTGTAGAGAGAGACACAATTTTAGAAAGAGAAATAGATAGCTTAGCATTTAGAATTAGAGAAAAACACTTTTGTAGAGAAGATTGGATAGATCCAAGCTAGTTCTTGAGAGATTGATTGAAGGAAGAGCTTGACAAACTCCATTTCAAGAGATCTTGCAAGACTTGATCTCATTTTCCTAATCTAATTTTGGGTATAATTTCTACTCTTTTCTATTTCTACTTGTTTTGCTAGGGTTAGATCTATGAATGCTTTTATGATTTCCATGTCGATTGTAGGCTAGTCTTGTTAGGGTTTGGATTGTGAAAGTGTGTGTTGATGATGCTTCCATGACTTAGTTCTCAAATTAGGGATTGATTGATAACATTGCTTCTATGTCTTGTTGTTGAGGTTTGTCATGTATTGAACCACATGTCCGTTACGGGAGGGGCTATATGTGCACCATTTTGATAATTGAGGGGTAACATTTACACCACTCATAATTCAGGGGTGACATTGATAATTGGCATATTATAGAGGGGCATATTTTATAATTTTGATAGGAATTTTAACATAGAATTATAGTACGAATAGGAAAGTAGAAAACAATATATTTTTAGTGTAAATACCACCTATAGTCCCTCGAGTTTGGTGGCATCGCCATCAATGGTCCCTAACTTCCGTAATTACCATCTGTCACCCTCCGAGTTGCGAAAAGTTACCTTCTAGTGTCCTTCCGTTACTTCCTCCCGTCTTAGCCGTCAAAATGGAGGGTAATATTGTCATTTGACTTATACGAAAAGAGTGAATACCAGCCAAGGTCCCTCGAGTTTGGTGGTTTGGCCATCTTTAGTCCCAAGTTTGGGTGCTCAAAGATGGAATTGGATATCTTAGCAAGACTCTGTTGTCAAACTATGGCAGACATTTCGATGTCCGCCATCCAAAAGGTTGGAGGCTGTTTGCTGACCTCTTGGAGAATGCTACTTATGGACTGGAGATATTGACTCCAGCATTTCCCCATCTGTTTGTACATATTGGTGCGGTTGCTGGAGCAGGGAGATCAGCTGCTGCACTAATACAGGTAAATTGTTCAACCCAAGTGTATTTCTCTGCACATATATTCCACCAAATGGGTATTGTCACTGGAGAAATGCAAGTTTTGTTCAATAATGCACTCTGATATCTCTCTTCTGATAGGCTACTACGAGGAGCTGTTTTTATGCTCGCTTTGCTGCTCAAAGGAATTTTGCTGAGGTGAATCCTCTGCTTGGTTATTATCTTTTGATTTTTAAAGCATTTGTCTGTTCCACAATACCTTTCTAAAGATTTTATTTCAGTTGATTATTTTCCCAGTGATTATGGAGGAAACTCTACAGAACCTATGGGAAGAAGTTCGGGATCTAAACCTAGGCATGACTTCTCAAATCGACCGCCTCCTCTGTCCACCTACGCCTCTTCATTTCCTTTGCGACTACGTTTCCCCCAACAAGCCATGCCTCATCTCCTCTGCCATCAACCACTGGCCGGCCACCACTCTCTGGCACTCTACCCAGTACCTCCTCGACGCCCTCTCCTCCTCCACCGTTTCCCTCCACCTTACCCCAACCGGCCGAGCTGACTCCGTTACCTCCCTTCCTACCTCCCCTTCTTCCCTCTGCTTCGCCTCAGCACATGTCGAGCAGGTCCCTTTCCCTGACGCTCTGTCAAAGGTTTTCCAATCCGACAACAGTTCCACCATCGCTTACCTGTAGCAACAGAATGATTGCTTCCGTTCGGAGTATGAGGCTCTCGGTTCGGACTGTGAGCCCCATTTTTCCTGGGCATCCGAGGCCTTAGGATGCCTTCCTGATGCCGTGAACCTCTGGATTGGGAATGATTTGTTGGAGACATCGTTCCATAAAGACCATTATGAAAATCTATACGCCGTGATCACTGGGGAAAAGCATTTTCTGCTTCTTCCTCCCATGGATTTCCACAGGATGTATATTAGAGAGTATCCAGCTGCTCAATACCACTATTCCCAGGTTTAAGTTTCTTCTCTCATTATCATATCATAAAATTTTTTGTGTGTGAATCTATATGAATTCTGCTAATATATAGCCAATGTCGTTGAGAGAAATTGAAGAGGAGAATACTATACATTTGTAAATTTTCTTTAATATTGTATAGGAGAAGAGGGAGTTCGAGTTGGAAGTTGAGAAACCACCAACTTTCTTTAATATTGTTTGACCAAGTTTGGGACTAAAGATGGCCAAACCACCAAACTCGAGGGACCTTGGCTGGTATTCACTCTTTTCGTATAAGTCAAATGACAATATTACCCTCCATTTTGATGGCTGAGACGGGAGGAAGTAACGGAAGGACGCTAGAAGGTAACTTTTCACAACTCGGAGGATGACAGATGGTAATTACGGAAGTTAGGGACCATTGATGGCGATGACACCAAACTCGAGGGACCATAGGTGGTATTTACTCTATATTTTTATTAGAAAGAGAGATTTTTTAGGAATTGGGCGGGAAGTTAAAGTTCAGGATTTTGTTTTTATATATAGTATAGATATAGATAGTATAGAGGATAGTATAGAGAATTAATGTACAAATAGGAAAGTAGAAAATAATATATTAAAATTTGAGAATTTTGAACGGGAAGTTAAAATTTAGGATTTTGTTTTTATATATAGTATAGATTTCACTTTTTAATACTTCGATTTTACTTTTCGAATATCTTGTATTCGAATTCGAGTGGAATTCTTTGTCGGAATGTCCCCTGTTCCCTGTATTTTTTGTCTATCTTTTTTTCTTTTTTCAGATGATTCGCAAGTTTTCATTAAGACTATATATTTGAACCAAATTTATTTTCAAATATACCTTAAGTTAAAATTTGGATAATTTGAATAATGCAAATCTGGCTACTAGTGTTTGTTTCAGGATGATTAAAGTAATAGCTATCAGTTCGCATTCAGTTGGTCACAGTGATGAAATTTGAATACAATGACCCGAGATCGAGTCTCACCAGCCACAGTGTGGAGCAATATCTCAAAGTGATGGGGTTCCTTGTGTATAGTAAGGATACGATTTTTGAGTTTTTATGTTTTTTTTTTTGAGTGACGAGAAAAGCTCGCAATCAATACTCTAGGGTGTGTACTAGGTAAACCCCACCTTCTAACTCTAGCCGACAAAGGATCATAAGAAGGTAAATCAGTCTATGTGCTATAGTTGACCGGCTCAAACTAAGAAGACTGAAATTCGAACTCGAAATTTGTTTATATATATAATTTTTATTAATTTTTAAAAACGAAAAAATTAATATTAATATTATTTTTAGACTTTACTTATTTTTTTGAACTTTGAATTAATATTAGTTTTTATTAAGACTATAAAGTTGCATTGTAAATTCGCAATGTTTGTATTTTTAAACTTTACTCTTTTTTTTTTTTTTTTTTTTTTTTTTTTTTTTTTAACTTTGAATTCAACAAAGACAAAAGCTTTAAAACAAAAAACCGCTGGTCGGTCCGCAAGGTGGATTAGGGTTGCATGAATCCTACCTGGCGGGCCGACGCGCAAAAGCCCGCAAAAAATTAGGCCCGCGGTGGGGCGGCCAGGCCCGCTTTGACAGTATTATAATATATATATATATATATATATATATATATATATATATATATATATATATATATATATATATATATATATATATATATATATATATATATATATATATATATATTCCAGCTCAAATTTAAGGGCAATTAGTAATATCAATGTTATGAATAAATTAGGAATAAAATTAATTGGGAATATTAATATTAATATAATGACTTGATTAGGAATATCAATATAATGAATTGATTATGGCAATACCTTAAATAAATGAGTTAATTTCAGCAATGGTCCTCTGATTATGTTGATTTTCCATAATTAGTACTCGACTTTTAATTTGGACAATTTAGACACTTGACTTTCGAAATATTTCCAATGTTGGTCCTTCCGTCAGTTGAAGGTTAACTGGACGTTAGTTTAAGGGGTAAAGTATTCATTTCACAATTAATTTTTATTTTTAAAGTAATTTTATTCTTTGCTTTTTCTTCTTCTTCTTTGGCATCATCATCACCAAGTCCTTGAGATTCTTTCCCTGCCATTTTGCGGATGTTGATGAGTTCGCTGCCATTCTTTCCCTGCCATTTTTTTTCTTCAGTTTTTGAATCTTGTTCTGGTTGTTCGATATGGGTTTGAAGGGATTTGTTGAGGGAGGGATTGCTTTCATTTATTGCCGGGTGAAAATGCAGCTCCAGGGCGAATCTGCGACGGTGGTTCAGACCCGTGATTTTCACACCACTGCTGCCCATTCTGGTCATATTCCTATTCCTCTGTCGCCGCGCTTGGGACCCATTGCGGTGGGTGTGAGGATCATTCGACCGGTGATCGATTTTCAAGAAGCTAAAGAGGCCACTTCGGCAGTGCGCCTACTCTCCAGGAAGCTAAAGAGGCCACTTCTGAACTCAAAGAAGCCATTGAGAAGTAACATACTTTACATTTTCATATATATATATATATATATATATATATATATATATATATATATATATATATATATATATATATTATTTTCCCTCATTTAATTATAAATATTTTTTTATGCATTATTATGTAATGAGTAAGAGCAATCTCGCTTAAAGATACAATTTTTACATGATCACAATCTCATATTCCTTTATCTCTTGAAATCTTTCTTTGTTTACACTTTACAGGCTTCATGTGATGTTTTCTGTGAGTTTGTGTTTTACCTATGAACTGAAACTTGCATATTCCTTACACATTTTTGTTGTTATGATGTCAATAACACAGACTGGAACAGTTAATAGAAACATACACTCTTACAGTCTTACATGAAGGTGGAGCTGGGGATGGCGTCGAGATAAGCCTGCATTTCGAACCAGATTTGCAGATTTCTTCAAGAAATAGCAACCTGGATGTGAGGGCTGTTTTCCGGCGTGTCTACAACCTCCCTCCACCAGACGCTCTATTCGACCGGGCTGTACGACATGATGAAGCAGAAGTGGAGTGACCCGAAAACGAATAACATGGGTTACATGGCAATGTCTAAGAAAATTGGGGTCGGGCTTATCACCGGTGGGGTCCGAGCTGCCGTGGGGAACCCCGCAGACGTACCGGTGGCATCGAATCCAGTGGACGTGCTGAAAACGAGGATGATGAACATGAAGGTGGAGCCGGGGATGGCGTCGCCGTACACCGTCACCCTTGACTGTGCCTTGAAGACGATCAAAGCAAAGGGCCCCATGGCTCTTTACAAGGGCCCTTCATCCCCACCATTTCACGCCAGGGACCCTTCACTGTGGTGCTCTTTGTGACATTGGAACAAGTCCGCAAACTTCTCAAGGACTTCTGATTCCGAAGAAGAAGAAGAAGAAAAAGCAAAGAATAAAATTACTTTAAAAAAAATAATAATTGTGGAATGACTACTTTACCCCTCAAACTAGCATCTACTTAACCTTCAACTGCCGGAAGGACCAACATTGGAAAGATTTCGGAAGTCAAGTGTCTAAATTGTCCAAATTAAAAGTCGGGGACCAATTGTGGAAAATCAACATAGTCGAAGGACCATTACTGGAATTAACTCTAAATAAACACACTTTCCTTTTGAAAAATCTTACAAATTTATAATTCTCATATTTTTCACCTATAAATACGATGAGTTGATGACTAAAAAAATTATGAGTCTTCATTTTACCTTGCATCCATCCCTCTTTTCCCTTGCAGAGATGATTCTCTCATCACTTATTTATCAATTTAATCATTGTGGTTCAATAGTCACTCAAACTAATATGCATATTTCAAAGCATTAAAGGTACAATTTCTCTTCTAGCTATTTTTATTTCTGTGAAAAAAGTTATTATTTTTTCATTTACATTCTTTATTATGGATTTGTTCGGGTTGATGCCACTCCACACCAGCTGTAGTTGCTCCGATTAAGCCGATGCAAACAAGTTTAATTTTATTAGAAAAGTATTTTTGTCGTATTATTTTTGTCTATAATTGATCTTCCGTAGTTTTGAATTATTGTTTTGTTTTTAATTATTGGTTTGATTTAAAATTTTGCATTCTATGTATTTTTTTTCGTATTATTGCTTTGTTTAAAACAATAATTTTGTAATATTGTTTATATATTTTATTTCCAAGCACGGTTTTTGTTATTTGTGCGATGCAATGGTTACAGAGTTAGTAAGGGATACTACCCGAGTTCACTGTTTTTTGGTGACTTTGTAGGTAAGAGAGAAGCGAAAGCTACGGTCAAGAAGACCATCGCAAACAAATTAAAAAAAAAAAAAAAAAAAAAAAAAAAAAAAAAAAAAAAAAAAAAGAAGCAAAAAAAGGATTCAGCTTTAAAACAAGTTATAGAGAAAAAAAAAATGTCGATGGCAAGATTCAGAAGAATGTGGTGGAATGCGGTTCCTCTTCATCTGATGAAGACACTTCTTCTTATTCTAAGAAACAATTGAAAGCCAGTAGATTAAAATATCCATGTATGTGTATGCTTGAAAGTACCATTTAGTATTTTTTGTTTTTATTGACCTAAACTTGATTTCATGTAATTAAATTCTTATAAAAAAAAACCAATGTTCTTATATTTTTTGTTTTTAGAGTATGGATTATTTGTTCCATTCAATTTTTTTAAAATATATTGTGGGTTGTGTTTTAAGTATTGAGTATCTGATGATGTTTTTATTGTTCTCTTTGTGTTATGCATGGGGATTTTATTTTTTATTAATAGAATAGATTATCATATGATTAATAATACTAAAGTAAGAAATTTATATATGACATATAATTATGGTAACATTTATTTAAAATATAATGAAATTAAAATTTCTATACTATTAATACAAATAAAATTCTCCTGTGTAATTTTCAGCACAAACTTTTATTAATAATATGGTTATTTCCCTTAAAAGTGAAAATGGAGAACAATCAGTAGTATCAAGAATTTAAAATAAAGATTGTGCAAAAATAATAGAACCAAATTGAATATTAATAATTAATCATCCAAATTTAATAATAATAAGCTTATTAAAACAATCAGTAATCTATACTATATATACAAACAAAATCCTATATTTTTTTATTTCAAATTGGAGGGGGGAAACCCCAAAAAACAAGAGTTTAACAGTCTGTATTTAGACGCCACATAGGAACCTGGTTCAGATCATCTAAGAGCAGGCATTTAACATGGTCTGGAGGATTTTCTAAAATATAAAGACCTCTATGGATACGACGAGCCCAAGCTGCAAGTGCGTCGGCCGGGCGATTACATTCACGAGCAACCCATAGAATCTGCTATTCGACAAAGCTTTTGAGCTCCTGCTTGCAAGCCAAAAGTATGTTGCGAGCTTGATTATTGGGGAAGGAATTATTGTTGATACTTGCGACTGCCTCACTAGAGTCGCTTTCAATCTGAATTCTGGGGAATCCCATAGCCGCCGCTAGTTGAATCCCCTTCTATAATCCCCATGCTTCAGCTGTTAGAGGATGCGAAACCCCAATGTTATACATGAATCCCCTGCGCCATTGACCTGTATGGTATCTTATTAGCCCCCCACAATCCTGCTTTTCCTGAGGACAAGTCCACTGCTCCATCCACGTTGATCTTTACGAAGTTTTCCGGAGGATTATTCCAATGAAGGAGTCTCCCATGCGGTGCGTTATCCGAGATCTGTGCGCCCTTAGCCTTATCGAAGGCTCTTCTTGCATCCTGAACCTGCATTGCAATCCATTAGCTTTTAGCATTAAGATGCTTTTCAATACCGTTGAAGGTGGCGTCGTTCCGCCATTTCCAAACTCACCAAGCTGTTATGGCAAACACAATACTGTCGTTGTGGGGATTAATGCCACCAAGAATGCCTTCAATCCCTTTGTCTAGCCAACTGGAGAAAAGGACTAAGACAGTGTTGCAAGCAAGTTGAGGGAAAGATGCACTTCCAAACTTCTGCCGTTGCTGGACATGTACGAATTACGTGCTCTGTATCTTCAATCTGATTCAAACAGCGAAAGCACTTGTCACAGTCCGACATGCCACGCTTGCACCTGTTGCTATTAGTCATGATCCTGTCATGCTTTACTAACCATAGAAAAGATTTAATTTGGTTTGGAACCTTGATATTCCAAATATTCTTCCACTTGGTCGGTTGTGATGGGTGCGCTGCCCCAATTATTGCCAATTCATAGGCCGAAGTGATAGAAAATTCGCCATTACTTTCGTTCGTGCACCTCAAAGTATCGGTTGCTTCTGGGTCCTCGCAGAGCACAACTGCTGCAATTTTATCTAGTAATTCAGCCGGCAAGACTTGTTCAAGTTCATTCCAATTCCAATCAGAATCGTCAGTCCAGTAGGTAGCAACAAACCTGTGAATATCATATGGTAAAACCGAGGAGGTGGCTAGGCTCAGTAATGGTTGATCAACTAACCAGATATCTGTCCAAAATTGAGTACCCCAACCATTTCTCACTTATTTGAAGATACCTTTGCTCAAGATTGGATATGTCTTGAGTATTCCTTTCCATGCATTAGACATCGTCGGTTTAGGCTTCCAGGTTGTAAGGTCTGATGGTAATGCTGCATATTTGGCTTGAAACATTTTCGACCAGAGGCAATCATCATTGTTAGCCAATCTCTAACCAAGCTTAGCCAAGGAGGCCTTGTTCATCTCGTCTAGTCTTCTTATACCTAAACCACCATTTGTCTTGCTTCTTGTAACCACATCCCAACTAACCATGTGGCAATTCCTGGTGTTGCCCGTATTACCCCAAAGAAATCTTCTAATGAGTCTCTCAATAGCCGATGTTACTCCAACAGGAAGTAGAGTAGTCTGCATAGCAAAGTAGGGGATAGAAGAGAGGACAGATTGTATTAAGACATGTCTTCCAGCCAAAGAAAGGTGCTTAGATTTCCAGCCTGCTAGCTTGGTTTGTACTTTCTCAAGGATGCCCGAGAAAGATTCGTTTTTGAGTCTGCCATGGATTGAGGGAACTCTGAGGTATTTTCCCATGTCTGTAACTCTAGGGATACCTATAAAATCTGAAATTATCATCTGCAAATCCAGCTGAGTGTTCTTTGAAAAGAACATGGTAGACTTGTGGAGATTAATCTTCTGACCCGAGCAGCAACAGAATCTATCAAGACATCTCTTCATTTCCTCGGCTTGTGCAAGGGAAGCTTCTCCAAAGAGAATCATATCGTCTGCAAAAAAAAGATGGCTAATTAGTGGACAGTTTCTCTTAATACTAATGCCCTTCCAACGACCAGAGTTAATAGATTCATGAATCAAATGGCTTAGTCTCTCAATGCATAAAACAAAAAGTAAAGGGGAAATAGTGTCTCCCTGTCTAATTCCTCGGCCTGGTTCAAACCATTCGGACTGCTCTCCATTCCAAGTGATTGCAAGTCTCGATGTAGTAACACAATTCATGATGTTTCTAATCCAAGACTGGTTGAAACCAATATCGCGAAGGGTATCTTCAATAAACTCCCATTTCAACCTGTCATAGGCTTTCTCTAAATCGATCTTCATTAACATCTAACCCTTGGCTCCTTTCTTTACCTTCATTGAATTCAGAATTTCCTGGTAGACGAGGATGTTATCTATGATTTGTCTCCCTGGCACAAAGCTGGTCTGGTGAACACCGATTAGGGTCTTCGAGTTTTCCCTTAGTCTATTCGCCATCATCTTAGTCAATATTTTGTAGGATACGTTACACAATCCAATGGGGCGAAGCTGCTTTACCGTTTCTGGATTCGGAACCTTGGGTATAAGAGTAATCAATGTTTCATTGCTCCCTTCTGGAAGCTGCCCAGTATTAAAGAAACTTGTGGCGAACTCAAACAAAGACCTGTTAACGGTGTTCCATGAAGTCTGATAAAAACCTGCGGTAAATCCATCGGGGCCTGGTGCATAAGTTGCGTCCATGTTGAATAAGGCTCTCTTGACTTCCTCTTCTGTGAAAGGCTTGTTTATTGTTCTCCAATCGTCTTCACACAACTCTGGAAAGCAGCCGGTAAGGGGAGACTAGACGGAAAGCAATTGATCCCTTGCAAATAATTCCATAAAATACTTAGAGATGTGTTCCCTGACTTTGTCTTCATCCACAATCCAAAGGCCATCATCATCCTTTAGCTTGGATATCCTAGCGGAGCTGTTTTTTAACTTAGTAGCTATATGGTAGAATCGTGTATTTCGGTCCCCAGACACTATCCATTCCTCTCTTGATCGTTGATACCATAATAACAGCTCCTCTTGGTACAGAATTTCTTCTAATTCCAGGCCCAGTTTCTTCTCTAATTTTAACAATTCAGCACTTGCACGTTCGGCTAACCTTCTTTGTATTCCACTAATCCTTGCTAAGATTTTCTTTTTCTTGTGGAACACATTCCCAAATACATCTCTATTCCAGTCTGTTAGAGCTCTAGCCATACTAGCTTTGTTTGATTCAATATCCCTATTTTGATCCCAAGCTTGTTGCATAAGCGAGTGAAAATTCGGATGAGTGGCCCAAACCATGTTGTATCTAAACCTCTTGCAATTAACCGAGATCTGAGCTGACCTTGTGGTGACAAGCAAGGGACAATGATCAGACTGTACCAAAGGCAGATGCTTCACCTTGGCATCCGGGAATGCTAAAGCCCATTCCAAATTGCCAAGAGCTCGGTCAAGCCTTGCGCCTTTAAATGTGGTTGATTGCAGCCCCCTCATCCAAGTAAATTTAGTACCAAAGTAGCCAAGGTCTACAAGACCCTCTCGGAAAATCCAGTCGTTGAAGTCTGAGCTTCTGGCGGACGAGTAAGTTGCTGGATTGCTCACTTCATCAGGACCAGCTACAGAGTTAAAGTCCCCGATTGTCATCCAAGGGGATTCCTGACCTGTTAATTCAGTAAAGAGATAACTACGAAGGGTTAGGACTGGACTTGCATAAACGAACGAAAGACACCAAGGTTGATTCATCCTATCGTCGACCTGCAGTGTCACAGATTGAGGGTGAGTGTCAATAATATCCACAGACAACGCACTCTTCCAGAGTATCCAAATTCCCCCTAAATACCCAACTGCTTCTATTGTAACCCAATCCGAGTAATTAAAAGAGGAACAAATGCTATCTGCTTGGGAACTCGAGACTTTGGGTTCAAGCAACGCAACAATATCCGGTTTATGGTCCTGGATAAACATTTTAAGAGTACGGCCAAACGCTCGTGAGGCCGCCCCTTGGCAATTTCAAGACATGATAATCATAACAAACAAAAGCAAGCAACACAAAAACGCCCAAGGACGCAAAGAAACCAAAAAGAAAACAGCAGCTCAGGAGCATGAAAGGGCATTTTCCCCAGGGCCAATGAGGCCATCACATTTATCAGCATCCGCCATAGCTTCGTCAGGTGGCTCAGCCAGCCTATCGAAGACCTTGGCGATGTCCGGAGGGTCGTTTCTGCAGGTGTTCTCGAGAACAACCATCGGCGAAATATCAGACTGGTCATTCGCATGATGGACAACCGCTCTGGAGATGTCTCTGCCATGATTGGTGCCACGAACCACCGTATGCTCCGCCTCATCCGCCGCCCTTCTAGGTGGCCCACCTCTGCCTAATCTACCCCTAATAGATCCGTGTTGGGCATGGAAAGGGGCCCTAAGCTGTACGGCCGGTTGTCTGGCCATCTGAGCACCACCAACATCAGGCTGAGATCTTGGTGCTTGACCTTGCTGGAAATTTGTTCTAATTCTAGGTAACATCAGAACTGGAGCTTGAACCGGTTCCATGGGGGTCTGATTGTCATGTACTGGTTCCATGGGAGCCTGATTGTCATGAACCGGATCATCTTCATTGCCATCAAGGTCAGCCAGCAGGGTGAAGCATGACTGATCTCCCATCCCTTCAAACTCTGTTATTCCTCTTCCGGTTGGGCCTTTGTTAAAAATTCCTGGAGGTTGTATTTGCCGGTTCTCTGGTTTATTCGTCACCCTTCGTTGATAACACCTTTCCTTTCTTTGCACCAGCATCCAAGATCCATAGTTGCTTGCGTAATCTTGGTTTGATTTCTTTAGGTGTGTCTTCTGAACTTGACCTATCTCCTCAGGACGGAGATTCTCGTTCATCTGCTCTGCTCCAACTTCCTCCGGTGCAGTTCTGTCCTCTGAGTCAATTTTGCCGCAATGTTCCAGTCTATGCCCATATAGGCCACAACCGAAACATATGAGGTGAAGCCCCTCGTAGACAATTGGCCAGACTGTGTCACTCAGCGTGTACTTGGCCAGGAGCGGCTTTGATATGTCTACTTCGATACACACACGTGCAAATTTTCCTTTGGAAATCAAACTCGTTGTATAATCCACCTTCACGGGACGTCCAACCTTCATTGCTATTTTATGAGGAATTCTTCTTCGAAATACTCGATTGAGACCGTCGGGAACGTAACCCAGGCAAGTATCTTCTCCGTTACATTGTTTCTTGGATCAAAATTTGGCACCCACTCCTTAACAGTTAGGTAGTGATCAAGAATAACCCATGGCCCTTCATATTTGGCGATGTCATAGTCTCTCATAGATTCGAATTTCGCGATATAGTATTCGTTTTCTAGGGCAATTAGCTCGAACGACGCCTCTGGTTTCCACAGCTTCTGGAGCCTTTGAACAAGATATGCGTAGCCTACTTTCCTTCCGAAAACCCTATTTATTAGCGTCTTCCTCCATGGACGTCGGATTCGTTCTTTCTCCTCTCTTGTGATTGGGATTATCGGACAGGTTGGGTTGCCTTCGTCGTCCATGCCTTCATCATTCGAAACCTCGAATGTGTCATTCTGATCGGTGGCGAACAGTCTTGCCCAAGTCTTGTTGGGCGTGTCTGCCGGAGTCTTCCACTGGGCGGATTCCGGCGATTTCAAATCGAACGCATCGGGGGTTCCTTGAGCCCCTCCTCCTAGCCTTGATGGCGATGGTGATTCAAGAGCACTTCTGTCTCTCTTCGACTTCTTGGCACTTCTTTCAGACATTGCGTGATCCTCCGGCGATCGATTGATCGCCGTTGATGAGGATTTTTCAGAGAGGGTTTCAGCGATTATTTCCATCGGACCATTAGTACAAAATCCTATATTTTAATTCCCGCACAAAAGACTCCTACAGTATTAAGGTTTGTCTAATATTGTAGAATATATGGTAATACAATTTCTTCTCCCAAAGGTAATACAATTTCTATTCGTACTACAATGGTACAAATATGGTAATACAATCCCTACTACAAATATTCTTTCATACTTTCCTATTCCTACTACAATTCTAAATTAAATTTGATATCAATTTACATTATGTAAGATATCATATGACATCAATATATTCTTTCCTCTTCTGTTTTTCTTATTCTATTTATTTATCTTTTTTAATGCCAAATAATTACCATAAATAATTATTAATAATTGTAAATTTATATTGAGAAATTATATTAATAATTAATTATTAAAGCAAGTATAATTTTTTTGTACTGTAGACGCATTATTTTTAATAATTTTAATTTAAGCTACTCAAGTCTCTATGTTTTTCATATACAAAGCTATAATTGTAATACTTTCATAATAATATGAAATAAATATTATCCAAATATTTAAATTTATTATTATTATTATTATATATATATATATATATATATATTAATCTAATATAGTGATGATTAATACGAGCAAACCATGTAAGAGCATAATCTAATATAGGAAAACATTCATTACTAACCATATATAACTTAGGAAATAACTAAACTTATTGAAACTTAATTATTTATAATTTCACCTTTAATTTAAATATGTAGTTTTAATATCCGAAATTAATACATCAACAGTGTTAACAATATGCACCAACAGTGTAAGAAAAACACACCAAAATGAAATGCAATAAAACATCAAAAAATACACAACAGACCCAAAAAAATACACCATATAACTCATCACCCCCAATGGTGTATTTCCGAACACTGTATGGTGTTTTTACTCACAGCTAATGGTGTGTTCTTGGTGATGCGTACCTAATTTGTCTCTATTTTTGTTGTGTATTTTCCTAACGTTGATGGTGTATATTTGTTAAACTATTGGTGAAGCCGCACCGCCGCACCGTAAGACACCGCCGCACCTAAACTCGCCTATATATATAGTCAATTAATTAATTATGTTATTCGTAATACCGCGTAGAACAGATATTAATTAGGTAGTAACATAATAGCGTAATGGGTAATAATATGTATGGTAGTTTATAATGTAATTGGTAATATAATTATTTGGTAATAACATATTCAGTCAGCTGCACGAATAAGCATATAGATTTTATATTTAAAAATTTAAATTTATGTCTTTTGTTTAAATTGAAAGATTTAATGGTTTTACATTACTTTGAATATTCATTTGTTTTATTCGTTTATCGACACCATGTTCATAGGTGAAACTATAGTATTTAAAAGAATATTTAAAAAATAATTATTAACTGAGAATAAAAACGACACGGAATTTAGGCCAATTAAAATAATGAATGACTGTTAATAATTGACTGAAAATTAAAAATGTTTCAAAATTGACTCAAATGCAAAAAAAAAAAAAAAATGGAATGAATAAATTACCAAACACCCCATCACTTTGAGAGGTAGCTCCCACACTACCGCTAGTGAGACTCAATCCCTAATCATTTTTCCAACTTTTCACCTCTATGACCAGTTAAGCTGCCATGCGGGTTGGTATAAAATGTATTAATAAATATGTAAAATGAAGTTTGCATCATAACGTTTAGCTAAAATAGAAAGAAATATTAATCTCGATTATATATTTTATAAAATGTAAAGTTAGTAGAAATATATAAAAAAAAAACTGTTATTAATAATTAACTAATTAATAATCTACAATGCAAAAGCTCTCTTGTTCCATAAATAAATGAGAATAACACAACCCGTAAAGCTATCAAATGCGGCTCTCTCTCTCTCTAAGCCGTTCTAGAGGGTTTTTCTCCCTAGGGTTTCTGGGGTTTTGGGGTTCTTTGGTACGCCGGTGTTTGCCTCGTGTTCAGGTTTGCGTTAGCAATGGATGTGCATGGGTTATCAGATGATTGTGCATTGTTATCGTTGCATGAGGAGGAGGAGAGGGGGGCTGGCGGCACCGTCAGTAAATCCGGGAAGCAGTAGTGTCACATATTTTGAACTGGTTGGCCGGTTGGTAACGGATCGGGATGTCAAGTATGATCATATGGAGCAGGTCTTTGCGTCCGTTTGGAAGCCGGTGATGGGGGTGAAGTTCGTGCCGTTAGATCATAATTTGTTTGTTTGCCAGTTTCCGAGCAAGCGGGATATGCAACGAGTGTTAGATGATGGGCCGTGGTCCTATGAAAATCAAATCTTAGCAATCAAGCAGGTGCCGCCGGGGGTACGGCCTAAGGCCGTAAGTTTGGGAACGGTCGATCTATGGGTCCAAATCCATGATCTCCCGAATCGGTTTGCGTCCGCAGATTTCATTGAAAGCATTGGGAATTATGTGGGGAAGTTTGTCATGATTGATGACAATAATTTTGGGGGTAATTGGAGGAGTTACCATCGGATTAGGGTTATGCTAGATGTCCAGGTCCTGCTTCGTCGTCGTATGAAGTTGAAGTTGGCTAATGATGCCTTCCAGTGGGTCAACTTCAGATATGAAAGGTTGACAACATTTTGTTTTTGCTGTGGCCTCATCGGCCATTCAGAGAAGTTTTGTCGCAAAGCAACGGAGGATGATATCCTCCCTAGGGATTATCCGTATGGAGCCTGGTTAAGGGCTGGGGGCAGGCGACAAGTGAAACCAGTGGGTGCTCGTTGGATTCTTGCGGATCTCCCCGACCGGCCAGTTTGTGTGCCAAATACGCCAGCCATTCCAACTGTGAATCCAGTTATGGAGGAGCAGTCGGTGGTTTTGCATGGTGAACATAAGCGCAGGAGGGAGGAGGACACTAGTGGTGGTCATCAAGATGAGCCTGATGTGAGGATGGCGGACGCATCAATAAACTTGGAAGCGGCGGGTTTGGAAGGCCAAGCCCGCCCTCATCAATGAGCACGATCAGTTGGAACTGCAGGGGGTTGGGTGGCACCCGTACAGTTCGAGAATTATTAGGCTTCGTGGCCTACAAGCGACCCAACTTCTTTTTTCTTATGAAAACGAAGGCGCAAACGAGTAAGTTGGAGGAATTACGAGTACGTATGGGGTTTGATGGTTTGTTTGTGGTGGAGAGGAATGGGTTGGGAGGAGATTTGGTTGTACTATGGAGGGATTCTGATATGGCCACTTTAATTGGGTATTCTGATAATCATATTGACGTCGCGGTGTCGTTGCCAGGTGAGCCCCCGTGGCGTTTAACTTGATTTTACGGCCACTCAGAAAGATCACATCATCACCTTTCGTGGGCATTGCTGCGTGAATTAAAAACACGGTCTAGTCTGCCTTAGGTGGTGATTGGGGACCTAAATGACATAGCCAACCATGATGAGAAAAGGGGTGGAGCACCACATCTGAATGGGCTTATTGCGGGTTTTAATGCGGCATTACAAGACTGTGATTTGTTTGACTTGGGGATGGTTGGTCACCTGTTTACTTGGGTTAAGGGAAGAGGTACTGCGAATTGGTTGGAAGAGCGCCTTGACCGAGCTTTGGCCACGCCGGAATGGTGTGAGATTTACTCTTCAGCTACAGTGTTGAATATGCTAGCTAACTCCTCGGATCACAGCGCTCTTTATCTTGATCCGAAGGGAATTGCTATTAGAAGAACTTCCCGAGTTTTCTGGTTCGAGTCTGCATGGCTGCTAGACGTTAAATGCAAGGATGTGGTAGAATCTTCATGGCGTCGGACTACGAACTTGAGCTTCCTGGATCGTATAGACGTCTGCGGACAGAGTCTGTGGCGTTGGGGTAAGGAACATTTTTGGCTGTTTGGCAGGAGAGTCCAACAATTGCGGGATAGAATGGAGGTTTTACGAGGCAGTTCCGCTGTGGGGGATGTTGCCATGTTCCTTAGGCTTGATGTTGAGCTTAGTATCTTATTGACGCAGGAGGAATTATATTGGCGCCAACGGTCTAAACAATTATGGTTGCAGGAAGGGGATCTAAACACAAAATACTTCCACCATTTTGCAAGCCATAGGAGGAAGTGTAATCAGTTATTGCGGTTACGTGGCCAGTCCAGTGTTTGGGTCGAAGGGGGGGAGATGAATTCAGAGATTATGACTTATTATTCTAACATTTTTCAGGCTGCTAGTTGTGATCTCGGGATTTTGAGCAGGTTCCCGGCCAGAATTACGGGGGAGTTGAATGCTAGATTACTTCGCCCGATAGAGCCAGCTGAGGTCAAGGACGCCCTGTTCTCTATGGCACCGGATAAGGCGCTAGGCCCGGATGGTATGTCGCCTTCGTTTTATGAATCTTTTTGGCACATCGTGGGACATGATCTTACAACTTTTGTTTCGGATTGTTTTGCTAATTGTTGGATGCCGGATGGTATTAACAATACTAATTTAGTCCTTGTCCCTAAGAAGAAAATCTCGGAGAGGGTTGGGGACCTACGGCCTATTGCGTTATGTAATGTCGCTTATAAAGTACTAGCGAAGGTCATTGCAAATCGCATGAAGGAAACGTTAGATTATGTAATTTCACCATCTCAGAGTGCCTTTGTGCCAGACAGGCTCATTACGGATAACGTCATTGTCGCAGGTGAGGTGGGACATTATTTGCGATTAAGACGGGCTGGGAATGTAGGCTGGGCATCGTTGAAGTTGGACATGACATACGGGTGGCGAGAGGAGCACTCGGTTGGGTATGTTGACCGCACTCGGTTATGCTAGTGGCTGGGTTGAGCTTATCAGAATGTGTGTGGAGTCGGTTTCATATACCATAATGGTCAATAGAAGTGCAGCTGATACAGTTAAGCCCACAAGGGGTATTCGACAGGGGGACCCCCTATCCCCATACTTGTTCATTGTGTGTGCGGAGGCCCTTTCGTTGTTGTTGCAGCAGCAAGAGGCGAGGGGTTTGATTCATGACATACGGGTGGCGAGAGGAGCACCGCCGGTTTCCCACTTGTTTTTCGCCGACGACAGTCTGCTCTTCTTTAGGGCAACGGTGGATGAGGCACAGGAGGTAAAATCCTGTTTGGCTTTTTATTGCAGGGCTTCTGGCCAGTTGGTGAACTTTGACAAGTCCAGCATCATGTTAAGTGCCAACACGAGGGAGGAGGTGCGTGGTCATGTAGCCGGTATTTTTGGTGTTATGCAGATGACTGATTTTGGCCGGTATCTAGGCTTGCCTTCTGTCCTGGGACGGAAAAAAAGGTTACTTTTCCAGTATATTGAGCAGAGGTTGAGAGATCGTATATCTTTGCGGCAAAAAAAGTTCCTGTCTCGGGTCGGGAAAGAGGTCCTGGTTAAGAGTGTTGGCCAAGCAATGCCAATTTTTACCATGTCGGTTTTCTTGCTCCCTCATGCTGTTTGTGATTCTATAGAGAAAACACTCAATCGGTTCTGGTGGAATAAGGGGTCCGGGAATGTGAGGGGAATTCATTGGCTTAGTTGGACGCGCATGACAGTTCCAAAGAGGTTGGGGGGATGGGGTTCAAACGAATACGTGAGTTTAATGTGGCATTGTTGGCGAAGCAAGGATGGCGGCTTTTAATCAAGCCATCATCGTTGGTATCCAGAATTCTGAAAGCCCGTTATTTCCCAAGGTGTAGTTTTTTGGATGCTTCTATTGGGAGCAACTCGAGCTATATTTGGCGTAGTATCTTAGTTCGAAAGGGGCTGCTTAGTGATGGTTTAGCCCGCAGGATTGGAGATGGTAAGGATACTCTAGTGTGGGGTGCGCATGGCTGGCGGATAGCAGTGATAGTTTTGTTTCAACACCTTTAATAAAGGAGTTAAAGGATACTAAAGTATGTGGTCTTCTGGATAATGCAGGGTGTTGGGATTTGGAGCTGCTACGGGATATTTTCAATGAGGCGGATGTGCCTAGGATTCTAAATACACCTGTCTCTATACAGTCCTCCGACACATGGTACTGGAAGGTTGATCTGCGTGGCCTCTATTCCGTTAAGCACGGCTATAATACCCTCATGCGTGAACATATGAGTCAAGAACCAGGCCTGGAGTTTACTGATTGGGGTGTGATTTGGAGCCTTAAAATCCCGCCGAAGGTACGTAATTTTATGTGGCGTTGTGTGAGGAATATTCTGCCCGTGCGTGAGGTGTTGAGTCGGCGAGGGGTTCAGGTGGTGGGGGGTTGCCTGCTTTGTGACCATTTTTCTGAGAGTGTATCGCATTTATTTTATGGGTGTGGGGTCATAAGGTAGCTTTGGGAGGGATTTGGGGCGGTAAATTGCAGCACTTTTATTCAAATGGTGCGGCATTATCTAACTTGCAGTAATGTTGATATGCATGTCCAGTTAGCAGCTAGCTTTTGGACGGTGTGGTTGGCAAGGAATGAAGCTTACTAGAATGGGAAGAGATGGAATTTTGTTGAATTAAAGCAGAAACAGTGTGCGTTTGTCTTGGAGTGGCAGCAGGCCATGTAGGTGGGAAGAGGACAACAACCACGGGTAGCTACCCCTACGGCGTTGTGGTGTGTACCGCCGCAAGGTTATTTAAAATGTAACATTGATGCGGCGATTTTTGATGAGGGAGCTGGGTATGCCGTTGTTTTAAGAGATCATTACGGTGGGTTTGTCGCCGCAATGAATGGATGGTTCATGTCCGTACGGGATCCGTACCAAGCTGAAACGATGGCGGTAAAAGAGGCTCTAGCTTGGCTCAAGAGATGCAATTTTAGAGTTAATACCATCTGAGGTCCTCTGAGTATAGTGGTTTTGTCACGTTTAGTCCTAAACTTTCAAAGTGACCATCTATGGTCCTTCGACTTTCAAATTTAACCATTCGTGGTCCAAGTTAACCACCTATGGTCCTTCAACTATTAAATTTTAACCAACCATGGTCCTTTCAAGAGGACCACGACTGGTTAAATTTCGAAACTTGAAGGACCATGGATGGTTAACTTGGACCACAAATGGTTAAATTTAAAAGTCAAAGGACCACAAATGGTCAATTTAAAAGTTTAGGACTAAACGTGGCAAAACCACTATACTCGGAGGACCTCAGATGGTATTAACTCTGCAGTTTTAATAATGTTATTGTTGAGTCTGATTGTCTTAATTTTGTTAATAATTATAATTCCGTAGTGCAGGATTTGTCTTATGTTGGGTCTTTCGTTAAGCAATGTCGTACCATTGCTAGGGACATTGGAAACGTTGTTGTTCGCCATGTCAAGAAGTAAGCAAACCACGTAGCTCATGTGCTGGCACGGGCAACTAGTTCTTCTTCTGATCTTGGGGTTTGGGTTGTTAACCCACCGAGTTGTATTTCGCGTTTCTTTGATGGTTTAATATAAGCTTTGGTTCTCCAAAAAAAAAAAAAAAAAAAAAAAAAACTAATTAATTAATATGTATTAAAAAATAATAATTGACTGAGAATAAAAATGACAAGAAATTTAGGCCAATTGAAATAAGAAATGACTATTAATGTTTTTTAAAAAAAGGAAAAAAAAAAAAGAAATGACTATTAATAATTGACTAAAAATGAAAAATACTTTCAAACTGACTCAGTATATAAAAAGAATATTAATCTCGATTATATATTTTATAAAATATAAAGTTAAAAAATAACTAAATTTATTGAAACTTAATTATTTATAATGTCACCTTTAATATAAATATATAGTTTTAATATCCGAAATTAATAAGATTTTTCTTCATATGGATGCATATATTTTAAATAATTTCAATTTAATAATATTATACCTGCCTTATATATATATATATATATATATATATATATATATATATATATATATATATATATATATATATATATGTATGTATGTATGTATGTATGTATGTATGTATGTATGTATGTATGTATGTATGTATGTATGTATGTATGTATGTATGTATGTATGTATGTATGTATGTATGTATGTATATATATATATATATATATATATATATATGTATATATGTATGTATGTATGTATGTATGTATGTATGTATGTATGTATGTATGTATGTATGTATGTATGTATATATATATATATGTATGTATGTATGTATGTATCTATATATATATATATATATATAGGGAAGGGATCATGTGCATTTGTGGCTTCCCGTGCGGATGTGCGGTGGATTAATGTGCGTGAGGTTTATACTTAATGTGCGTGAGATTTGTACTCAATGTGCCTGAGATTTGTACTTAATGTGCGTCATGTTAATATGTGTGAGTTTTGTACTTAATGTGCCTGACTATTGTGTTTAATGTGCGTAGGAGTTTTGCTTAATGTGCGTGAGTATTTCAGAATTACGAGCTCAGAAGGAAGCAGAACAGAAACTCACGCACATTAACGCCCAAGCTTCTTGTTACTTCTTCCTTCAATTTGGCCATGGATTCTGGATTATCAGCTACCTTCAGTGCAGTTGAATGTTTATATAAATGACGCACGCATGGTAAAATTTGCACAACAGCTAAGTGTGGATTTCTATTGTATTATTCCCATAATTCTTAACCACCATAGCCCGCCTGCGCATCATCATCATCAGGGAGGGGGCAAATGGCTACTGGGGATGGGGAAGAAGCTGACATCCGCACTGGAAGCATTCAACCGCACGGGAACCTTTCACTATATATATATGTATATATATATATATATATATATATATATATATATATATATATATATATATATATATATATATATATAAAAGTAAAATCCTCCTAGCCAAGTTTTTCCTCCAAAAGCTAAATCGAATTGAGGGCTGAGAACGTTGTAGATGAAGGCATATTTTCATCTTACTTTGCCTTTTTCTAGAGAGAGTAATAATGTGATGTTGAGGAAAGAGAAAAAGGGAATGGAGAGATTTTTTTTAACCAGAAGTTTCTATGTTTTTCTTATACAAATTTATAATTGTATATTTATATTAATAAATAATTATTAAGGCAAGTATAATTTATTTTATATTGTGGACACATTATTTTTAATAAATTTGATGTAATAATATTATACCTTAATTATAAAAATTCTACCTAATAATTTTAGTATTAAATGTCATACAATAATTACCATAAACAATGTTTAATAATTGACAAATTCTATTAGGCAATAAAAATTACTATTATAAAATCTTTGGTAATATGTACACATTATTTTTGATTATTTCAGTTT